TAAACTTGATGATGATTCAGGAAAATGTGAAGGTTTCTTTGTTTTTGACGGGAGATTATACCAAGATTTTGGAACGGTTGATTTCAGAATGACATTCTCCCAAACACAAACTCTATAAAACGAATATTGACTATTTTAAAAAACTATTTTAAGGTCAACTTTATACATAAAAAAAAGCATATTATTTACCGATGAAGTTTTCCGAGCGTTGGTAATACATCATTGTCAGTTCCAATAAAAGCATCAATCACTGAAGATGCACTTTTACCGTGTGAAAATACTGGTGTACAATACACATCAGATAGCAATCCAACATATCCATGAAGAGTAATTAAGGTCCTGAACGTGTTGTTTGCTTCTTCTATTTTTGTTGTATCATTTTCTAAAAAGAACAAAAATATTTTATATTTGTTCACAATTTGTAATTACACGTACATCCGATAATTAAATTTTATACTACCTTTTAGATCAATATATTCAGAGAGAATGCCTTTTCCTTCGTATGATAGGAAATTTGTCGCTCCCTGAAGTGTTTCATTAAGGGCACCAACAATTGCAGAAATGCTTCGCTTTGGATCTACATCTGCAATAACTCTCATTAAATGTGAAAGAGAATATGAAGCTTGAGAACAGCCAAACTCATATGGTAAAACTGGTAATGCATAAAACTTTAAAATAATGTTGAGCCCATTTTCCTGTTTTAAAAATTCTTTACAATGATTTTGTGTCTGAAAAAGACCTTCCAAAAACTAAATGTAATGATATTATATTAGTAACAATTAAATGGTATCAAGTAAATTAAAATGTAATACATACCCGTGCTGCAATTTCAATGAACGCTACAACTGTATTTTCTTTTTTCTCATCTGTCTTATTCTCATCTGATTTAGTATTATCAGAGTCGGTCATTTTTGTGTCAATTGGTCCATCTAAAATTTCTGAATTAATAACTTGATCATCATCACTGCCTGCGTGCAATATACTTGTACTGTCTTTAATTGTTGAGCTATGACCGAGTTCAATAATACGTTGAAGAGTGGTCATTATTGCGTTCATGATACTTTGCTTTAAGCTTGGGTGATGCCGCATCAATTCGTCGATTGAAGTTCCCAGAACTGATGCAACATCCGAGTCCTGAAGCGAACGCAAGTGTTCTTCTGATGTAAAAATAGTAAAGAATTTATCGATTGGACTCATTTGGTTAAAAATTTCCATTCCCTGAGCATTTAAGCAAATAGCGCCGAACGCATTCGGAATTGATTGAATCACCTATAAAAAAAAAAAAAAAAAATTAATTTTACGCTTTTTAAATTATATTTAAATTTTGTTAACTCACATCAACTGAAGCAGGAATTTCCTTAGAAATGGAATTTAAAAATGTTTGTGGAAGTCTGGCTTCCTGCATAATCGGGAGCGAAGTAGGCTCATTATGTATGAATGTAGCAATCAAGTTGATGGCTATATAAAGAAATAGGACATACATAACCATTAATGAAATGAACATAACGGCAATATTCCAAAAAACAAATAATTAAAAATAAATACCTAGTGCATATATGCTGCTACCAAACACATTTGGCTGTTCAAAGACCTTTTTCAACGAATCTGGCAGTGAAGTGTCGATAAGATTGCGCAGACCATCTGCAGTACCAGAGGCTTGCATCATATGTAAAACAAATTTTAACATTGACTTGAGCAATGATGCCCGTTCATAAGGAAGAGAAATATCGTTTTCAATAGTGACAGACTCTCCGACTAATAAATAGTAAAAATTAGTTACATACATATAGGTCATAAAAAAATGCTACTTTTACTACAATACCTTCTGAGGATGATCCTGCAGATGCAGATGCATTTGCGATTGTGATACCTTCCATTTGATTGTCTCGAACGTCTTTAACAAGTTGTATGCCATTATCAACTTCTTCCTAATAAATTGTAATATATCACAATTAATATAATTAAACTAATGTTAATATAGCACTAAAGTTCTCAAACATTAATAACATACCTTAATTCTATCAACTAATACACGGACACCATTAGCATTACAAAATGAAGTAAACGATGTGTTGAATCCATAGACGAGACTGTCCAGGATACCAACTGCTTTTGTCACATTCTATTAAAGTTGTATACTAGTTTTAGATAAAGTCTATTATAGCTGTTAAACCTAATTAAAAACTTACTTTTAATTGATGGGAATTCTTATTGTTAAGTAATTGCAAAAGTGTTGGAACGATTCCGGCTGATATAACCATCGTTCCACCGGTTTGTGTAGTAATGATATAAGATATCAATGCGAAGAGGGCATCATAGTATTCTTGAGGGTATATGGCTGAATATAACAAAAAGGTTTTAT